AGGCTCCGCCCCTCTGATACTCCCACCCTAGCCCATCTGCCATGTGCTGTCTCCAGGAACAGAGACACAGCCAGCCACTCTCTGGTGCCCTCGAGAACCCCAAGGCTAAGGGGAAGTGCAGTTAAAGCCCAGGCGGATCTCGATTCCTGAGCCACCAGAAGCCAGGCCCCCTCGGGGCCTCAGTCTGCTCCTCTGTCCGGTGGATACGTTATGTCCTGGACTAAAGGGGCCAGCGTGTGAACAGGGAGGAGTATTTCCTGTGGGGAGCAGGCCTCCCTGCCTTCTCCCTGAGAGCCGATCCTAGGAAAGGACTCAGCGGAGGGAGCGCCCGTTTGCAGTAGCTGCGCGTTTGCTGCCACACTGTGCGTGCCCCACCTGTCACACCGCAGAGTCCTGGGCACCGCCCTCCCCTCCCTACGCCTCCGTGTCCTGTCTGTGCAGAGCTGCGGTCCTAGGGCCTACTTCAGCAGCCACTGACATCTGGGACACGGAGCCACGTAGTGGGTGGGAGCCGTGGTTGGCTGTGGTCACCCTGGCACCCTGCTTAGGAGATGGTATTCTTTCCGTTTGTCCACCCAGCAGGGTCAGTTTTGTGTTTCTATTGCCAGGGGTGCATGCCCTCACCAAGGTGGGGGAAGGAGAGGGAGGGAGAGAAAGCACCCCCATGGGGGCTGTCACGTGACGACCCCTCCGTCTCTCCACCCTGTGGGGGTCTGGGGCGTGCACATACACATGCCCCGTTGTGTTTTCAAGTCACGAGGGCCAGGACTCAAACCGTGGGTGGCCATGTGGGCTCTGGCTCTTTAGCACTGGCCCGCTCAGCGGGTAACTTTGAAGGCCCACTGCAGCAAGCCCAGCAGACATGGTCTCAGCCGCACAAAGGCTGGGTTCCTGCCCAGAGGGGCTGACATGCTAGCGGGCAGACTGACGGAGGTGAGAGTTTGCTGGCGGTCCTGAGGGCCACAGAGGGAGAGAATCCTGGTGGCCGGGGAGACCTTCCTGAGGGAGGAGGGGGCGTGCAGGTGCGTGAGAGTAGCAGCTTCCAGGCCGTGGGAGCAGAAGGCACAGGGGCCCGGAGGCAGGAGCGTGCCTGGATGCCAGCTAGCGCGAGGCAGAGGAGAGCTGAGGCCAGTCTGGAAAGGCCGTGCAGGGCCTCAAAGGCACCACAAGCCCTAGCCAGACCCTAACGAACACCTGGAGGGAGCAGGGCCTGGAGCTCAGGGGGTGGATGGCCAGTGGTGGCCATGGGGGCAGGGAGGAGGGGATGTCCCAGAGCTTTCTAGCAGCCAGGCCCTGCAGGCTCCCACACCTGGGGCCACGCTGCAGCACGTGAACCTGGATGCGCGGGTCTCAGATCACAGGTTTGTGCCTTGGGGACCCAAAGGTGTCCCACAGGCCTTTGTGGTCTGAGGCTCCTGGTCTTCTGGGGAAGGCGGTGGCTGGGCCTCCTGGTGACCGCTTCTGTTCCCCATGTCCTGCTCTGCCCCTCCCACCTGGTGCTCCTGAAGATAAAGGTAGTTGGTGTGTGAGGGGGAGTGCATGCCTGGGTACACGCACACCCTGGGAAGGTGCATGACGGTGTGTATGAGTGTGCATGCATGTGCATGGTTCTGTATATGGCGGGATGGGCAGGAAGAGGCACCTAAGGGGACCGGCAGATGGCATAGTGGTTATGTGCTGGACTCCCACGTAGTCATCTGTGGTTCAAGTCCCGGACCTGGTTTAAAAACTCATGCCAGGCACGTATGCGTGTGTGCCCAAAATCCCAAGAGGAGAATGGAGAAGGCACTGTGGCGTGGCCATCCCCACCGGGAGTGATTTCCTCGCTTTCTGTCTCTTTCTGTCTCTCTGGCAAGCACACATGTCCTAGAGCAAAAAATGTCTCTTAAAAAAAAAAAAAAAGGCACCTAAGAGTCTGTCCTGGAAGAAGAGGGACCTGGAGTTCCCCAGAGAGCCTTCCTATAGTCGCCCCTCACAGGAGGGTCCTCGGGGAGCGCATACCTGGGCACTCCCAGCCAGGCCCCCACCCACAGCCGTGCCAGCCCCCATCCCCACAGCCATGCCAGCCCCTGTCCCCACATCTCCTACCGGGCCCAGATCCTGGAGGCCACGCCGCTCTTGGAGTCCTTCGGTAACGCCAAAACCGTCAGGAACGACAACTCCAGCCGCTTCGGGAAGTTTGTGGAGATCTTTCTGGAAGGGTGAGTGGGCTCCTAGTGGCCTTGCAGAGCTCTCGATGTCCTGCAGTAGCCTCTCAGGGACAAGCCAGCTCCCCTGCCCACAAGCTGACTGTGCTCCCCACCCAGGGGCGTGATCTCTGGTGCCATAACCTCCCAGTACCTGCTGGAGAAGTCCAGGATCGTGTTTCAGGTGGGCCAGACCCTCCCAGGCCTGCGGGGTGGGACGAGGGGGTAGGCTGTGACACACCCAGAGCCCTGTGTCTGGGGGCTGAGCAGGTGTCAAATAGATGAACACACACGTGCAAACTTGTGTACACACACAGGGGGCTGGTAACCGGCCTCCCCTCCCCTGCTCCAGCACACGCCTGCTTTGGGGCCTTTGCACCTGCTGTTCCGGCTCCCAGGAGCCTTCATCCCCAGATACCTGCCTAGCCAAACCCCTGGCCTACCCGGGTCGTCCCACAGTGTCACCCACGCAGAGAAACCACCCTGCATTAGCACGCAGCCCCTCTCCACTACCAGGAATGCTACCTGCTTCATGGTTTTATGTCTCCTGCACGCTTTTTACCAACTCACCTCGTTTGTGTTTTATCCTCTGACCCGCTGAGGTCTCTCCCCAGCTGGAGGTGGGCCCATGAGGTCAGGGGCTTCTGTCTTCCCTAGTCCTACGGGGTCCCAGGGCCAGGCCGAGTGGACAGTCAGGAGGCCCTGCGTGTGCATGTCTGGGATACAGACACACACGTGAAGGCCCGTGTGGCTGGTGCACACACGAGAAGACTGAGAGAGAGGTCATCTCTCCCTTATTTCACCCGGAGCCTTCCCCCGAGCCACACCAGGGCGTCTCTGCTCCTGCCCTCACCCCTGCTGGTGCCAGGCAGGGAGTCGGCCCCTCACGGCAGTGCCCGGTCCCATCTGCAAGCACGTGTGTGTTTCGGGCATGCCTGGCCCTGGGTGTGTGGCTGGGGCCCCCCAGGGGGGCAGCTGCCTTCTCTGCACCCACCCTGCAGGCCAAAAACGAGAGGAATTACCACATCTTCTACGAGCTGCTGGCCGGCCTGCCTGCCCAGCTCCGACAGGCCTTCAGCCTGCAGGAGGCCGAGACCTACTACTACCTGAACCAGGTGAGCGCCAGCAGGCATCCGCACCTGTCAGGGCCCGGCGCAGTGGAGCCCAGTGCCCTGTCCGCATGGCCAGCGAAGGTGACGGAGGTTTGGGGAGGACACGTTTGGATTGAAGGCATCTCATCGCAGCAAGCAGGACGGGAGTCTTCGGGGGCTGGGGTGGAGGTCGGGGAGACAGACCTGCCTGACTTTGTTCCTCGGGGGCAGCGGCCAGAACCAGCCAGCCTGGAGCTGCCGCACTCCCTCCACTTTCCCCACCCACGCCAAGGCGACAGCGACCGCGGAGTGCCCGTGCAGGGCTGTAAAGGATGAGTGCAGGCTCCTCACCTGCCTGTGGCAGGTGCTCGTGCTCAGCGCGGTCCGCTGTCCCGCCCCCGTTAGCACCAGGCTGCAGTAGAGGTCCACAGCCCCGCCCCGGCGCCCTAGCCCCACCCAGAGCCTCCGGGCTGTGAACGTGGAAGGAGCGCTTGAGGGGCTGGCCCCGTCCACAGTGCTGGTCAGGACACGCGGGCCTGGAGGTGCCCTCCGCAGCCCAGGGCCCTGAGCGCCAGCCCCTGCCCTCGCCCAGGGCGGGAACTGTGAGATCTCAGGGAAGAGCGACGCGGACGACTTCCGCCGGCCGCCATGGAGGTGCTGGGCTTCGGCAGCGAGGATCAGGACAGCATCTTCCGCATCCTGGCGTCCATCCTGCACCTGGGCAATGTCTACTTCGAGAAGTACGAGGTAGGGGTGCCACAGCCGCGGGGCAGCTCCCTCAGCCGCGGCCCGCTCGGAGCCCTGCGTGAGGTTTAAGCCACTGGGTCTGGGACTCCAGTCAACTACATGGGAGTCCAATGATGTAAAACCATTACGCCATCTGCTGGTCCCTTTGTAAAGAGATTTTTGTTATAGGGTGCATATGCTCACTGGAGAGACAGAGACAGAGATGAAAAGCAAGCAGTCACCCCCGGGGGGGCTGGCCACTCCGCAATCCCTCCTCCCTCATTCTCCTCTCAGGATTTTGAGTATATATGCACATGCATCCGGAATGAGTTTCAAGCCACCGGGTGTAGGTCTCAAACTGCAGTCGACTGTGTGGGAGTCCAGAGCCGTAACCACTAAGCCCCCTGCTGGTCGATCTCTCTCTCTCTCTCTTTCTCCAGTGAGTGCACACACCCTCTGGCAATTAAAACATTACAGAAGTAGAAAAGCTGGATTTGTTTGTGGGTTTTTTTTTTAGAGGTTTTTGCTAAAGGGTATGTGCACTCGCCAGACAGAGACAGACAGAAAGCAAGAAGTCACTCCCCAGGAGGGATGGCCACGCTGCAATCCATTCTCCTCTCAGGATCTTGGGCATGCACGTACATGTACCCGGCGTGAGTTTAAGCCACCTGGTTCAGGACTTGAACCGCTGTCAACTACATGGGAGTCCAGCGACATACCCATTATGCCAAATGCTGGTTTTTTTTTTTTTTTTTAAGAATTATTTTATTGGGGACCAGCAGG